TTCTGCAGCCTGTCATCCCTTTTCCACTTTTTCCTCCTTTTCCCAAACCCCTGGGTCCTTGGGAAGCATCCCAGGACAAACACCGCCAGGACAACTTCAGCCTCTCCACATTACCCCCTCCACCACCTGCCCGAAATGGTTCCTGCTTCTCCTACCACCACCGCCACCCACCCCATCACATTTGTTTGCTCATTCATTCATTCACTGAATACTGAGAGACTCATAGGTGTCTGGCACTATGCTAGACCCTGGGGTGTCAGCAATGAACAGACAGACAAGATCCCCATCTCATGGAGCTAACCTTCTAATTGGGCAGGTGAACAATCAGATAAATGAATGAGGTAGTCTCAGGTAGTGATACACTGAGTGATGTGTTACAGAGCACCAGGAGGATGGCAGCGGGGAGAGAAATTGGTAGTCAAAGATGGCCTCTCTAAAGCCAGGTGTGATCATTTTAAAATATACCCACAAATTCTTTTAAAATACGTCCATTGCCTCCAAAAAGTAGAATCTAATTTCCCTCTCCATAACCCCCTTAATTCAGGCCGTACTTAGTGACGTGCTCTAAGGAAAAGAATGTGGCAGAGGCGATGGTATATTGACCGTATATGACTTCCAAGATAGGGCATAAAAGGCATTGAGGATTCCTCCTGTCTCTCAATCTCTCTTATAGATCACTCGCTCTAGGGGAAGTCAGATGTCACGCCATGACACTCAAGCAGCTCCACGGAAAAGCCTGCATGGCTGGGAGCTGAGGCTTCCTGCCAACAGCCATGTGTGTGTATCATCTTGAAAGTGGATCCTCCAGTCTCGAGCAAGTTTTCAGATGACTGCAGCCCACGCCAACATCCTGACTGCAGTCACATTAGAGACTCTGAGTCAAAACTACCTGCAAGGCCACTCAGGGCCCATTCATCCACTAGACACAGCTGGCACACTGCCCAGGGCCCGCAATACTTTTAGGATCCACAAAAATGTCTTGATTTCTGTTAGAATTAGGGGAAAAAATGATTTTAAGTCAACGAAAATGTAATATGTAATATGAATGTATCCATCTTTATACCAATGCAAAAGGCACAATGCCTTTTATGCTCTGTCATGAAATATAATTTTCACATTCTTTTAAGAAAGAAGGGGCCAACAAAGGCAAAAGTGCCTAAGTCTTATGAAAATCGTAATGTAATCCCGAAGCTCCTCTCAAATTCCCGACCCACTGAATGGTTCCGTCTTTGAGATAATAAATACTTGTTATTTTAAGCTACTAAATTTGGGGGTCATTTGTTACATGGCAAGACAGCATTAATATATTGGCCTTGTGAAGATTCGAGGTCAGAAGACTGAAGACAGGGAAGAGCAGATGCAAAGGTCCTGGGGTAGAAGTAATCTTGGCATGTTCGGAATGAACAGGAAAAAGTTACTCACCTGTAAAATGAGAGTGATGACCATCACAGCTCCTCACTGCATTGTTTTTTGGATTAAATGAATAGTAGTACAAAGCTTCCTCTTGGCCTCTCTTCCTCTTCCCACATCTCCCTTGGACCTGATATAGGAAGGCCTGAGCCATCCTCCTACCAGCTACCTCGGTCACTCCTGCCCCTGATCTCCACTGAGGCATTCAGCAGCTCAGGGTCCAGAGAGACTTCCAGATGGGATTTAGAGCTGGGAAAAGTGTTCCACAGATGGGAATGGGAGAAGGACGTCAGGTTTTGCACCTCTCCCCTGAAATCTCTGTCTTCCTTTCCTTTCACCCACTTGCTAACTTACACAGATCTGGCAAGAGTCCCCTACAATCCTAGAAGATTTCTGATACTCGAACAAAGCTCCTTTCCATTGAAAGCCTACCAATTGCCCACACATCCACCTGTGCTCTGATGAGGCAAAGCAGGGCTATAGCCCAAGGTCTCAGCCACAGTGGTGGCAAAGGGTCAAAATTACTTTACACACACACACGCACCCTTATTCTGAAGCCTGAACTCTCCTTTTCCTTAAGATAAATCCTTTACATGGGATCACAGACAGGTTAAGAGTGAGATTGCTAGTCAATGGTCCATGGACTGGCTGGGTTGAGAGGACATGTCCATCACTGCTTGCCACACTCACTGCCCCTGCCGAGTAGACACACCACATTCTATCAACTTTATAATAATAATAATAATAATAATAATAATAATAACAACAACAACAACAACAATAATAATAAGCAGTAGTAGGACGGTGCTTCCTCTATACCAGGCACTGTCCTAAGACCTTTCCGGGCACACGATCCTCGTAGCAACCACATAAGGAGTGTAGTATTATTACCTCCAACGGTGAATTGAGAGCACAGAAAGGTGAAATGACTTGCCCAAGGTCACACAGGGAAGAAATGGGAATTTAAACCCAAGCAATCCATCAGCAGAGTGCAGACTGAACCATACTGGCCTGTGTGCCTTGCCCACCCAGGCCACAGCCATCTGGACCCAAGGGTGGCCAGTTCACAGAAGAAGCTAAGTCAATCAGTTGCTCCTTCAGCTAGACCGATAGGAAAGGGCACAGAGGCCAAAAGGAGAAGCTGTCACCACAAAGTACCAGGGACAGAACAACCTTTAGGGCCAGATGTCAGAGAGGACAGAGCAGCAGTGCCTGCAAGAGCCAAGATGAGAGGACCAGAAGCTATCGGGAGAGGGGACTGGAGACAACCTCGATCCTGCCGGCCCCTGAGTTCCAGGCTATTGGAGGCCTGGTGGTCCAACGGCTCCTGTCCCTGGAGATCCAGACCCTGCTGAATCTACAATAAGTCCCCTTCATGGAGCGTGTTTGAAAAAGTCTTCCATCCTGGCTCTCAGAAGAGCTCTGGCCAGAACATACTGTGTGACTTTGGGCAAGTTACCTAACCTCTCTGAGCCTCAGACTACTCTAGGAAATGGAATTTTGTGAGAATTCAAATAGTAACCGTATGTGAAGCAGCTTAGGAGGCAGCCGGCATATCATAGGTGTGAGGTAAATGGTAGAGACTGTCAGGATATTTTT